CTTCCCCCCCCCCCGTCCCCTGTGCCTCCCAGGTCCCAACATGGGTGCCCGAGGGGCCGTCAGAGGACACAGCCGTGTGTGTGAACTGCCAGAACAACAGCTTTGGTGAGAAGTGCGAGAGCTGCTTGCACGGCTACTTCCTGCTGGATGGGAAGTGCACCAAGTGAGTGTGCAAGGGAGGGAGCCCCCGGGCCCCGTCATGTGAGAGGCACGTCCCCTTGTGCCAGGTCGCCCCCTTGCAAGAGCCACCTCCGCTTGTGCAAGCTCATCCCTGTGCGAGAGCTCCCTCCCCCCTTGTGTGAGAGCTCATCCCCATGTGAGAGCCAAATCCCCTTGTGCAAGAGCCCATCCCTGTGTGAGAGTTGCTTCCCCTTGTGTAACAGCCAATCCCCGTGTGAAAGCCACCTGCCCTTATGCGAAAGCTCATCCCCATGACATCACCTCCTGGTGCAACAGCCTCCCACCCTTGTACAAGGGTCACCTGCTGGGCTGTGCCCTGGGGCCCTTCTCCATGGTGGGGGGAGCTTTGGCCTGGCCCCGCCCCTGACTCGGACGCCCCGCCCGGCAGGTGCCAGTGCAACGGCCATGCGGACACGTGCAACGAGTTGGATGGCACGGGCTGCCCCTGCCAGAACAACACGGAGACGGCGCCATGCCAGGGCGTGGGTGGTGCAGGCCCAGGCGAGCGCCGTGACTGCTACAAATCCCAGGTGCCGGGGGCAGGTCCTAGGGCGGGGCAGGTAGGGCCTGCCACCTGCTGGACAGGCAGGTCTGTGGTGAGGGGCGTGACCTGGCTGAGAGTGACAGGCAGGGGGGCATGGCCTGCATATGGAGGCGAAACCAAGCAGGTGCCAGTAGCAGCTGGAGGGGGCTGAGAGGGAGGGGAGGGGAGTATGAGTGAGGGGAGGAGTGAGGCTGAGAGAACGGGGGCGTGACCAGACTAGGGGTGGAGCCAAGCAAGCGCCAGCAGCATTGGACTGGCTAGTGGGAGGACCTGAGAGGGAGGGGTGGGGGGTTTGAGTGACAGGGGAGGGGTGTGGCTATGCAGGGCACGGCTGGGGGGGGAGGCATGGCCAGCCTCTGGGGGGTGGAGCCCCCCATCTGCCAGGGGGAGGGGCGGGGCCAGGTGCTGCCCCTGACCCCGCCCATTCCCGTGCAGTGTGCCAAGTGCCGAGACACGTTCCACGGGCAGCCCGTGGGGGGGCTGCAGTGCTACCGGCTCATCGCGGTGGAGCAGGAGTACTGCTTCGACCCCGCCTCGCAGAGCAACTGCTTCCACGCGCCGCAGCGCCGTGACCTGCCGCGCGGCCGCACCGTGCTCTTCGCCGTGCAACCCAAGTTCACCAACGTGGACATCCGGCTCACCGTGGACGTCACGGCCGGCGGCCTCGACCTTTTCGTCTCTACCGCCTATGACACCTTTGCCGTGGATGTAGAGCCGGGCACCGGCGTGCACCGCGTGCGGGTGCTACCGCCCGCTGATGGGCGTAATGGCTCGGGGCCAGGCCTGCGGGTGCGTGAGGAGCGGGCACGTGGGTTGGTGACCTATGTGACTGTGCGGCCGCCACAAGCCGTGTTGGTGGTGCGTGGTGTGCGTGATCGGCTGGTGGTGACATACCCACACGATGCGCACGCGCTCAAGTCCAGCCGCTTTTATGTGTTGCTGCTCGGCGTGGGCGCTGGTGCCGCCATGCCTGCCACGCAGGGGTTGCTCTTCTTCCGCCAGGACCAGGCGCACATCGACCTCTTCGTCTTCTTCTCAGTCTTCTTCTCCTGCTTCTTCCTCTTCCTCTCGCTCTGCGTGCTGCTGTGGAAGGCCAAGCAGTTTGTGGATGTGCGGCATGAGCAACGCCGGCACCTGCAGGAGATGACCAAGATGGCAAGCCGCCCCTTTGCTCGCCTCACCGTGCTCTTCGAGTCTGAGCCGGGCGGAGCTGGTGCCCCACGGGCGGCCGAGCTGGTCTTTTTGCCGACCCGGCCGCCCAAGCACCCAGCGTTGGGCGCCGCGCCGCGCCTGCGCCCTTTCCCTGAGCTCCCCTACGCCTCGGCCCGTGTGCGCCGCTCCGAACCCTTCCTCTCACACCTGCTGGGCTTCCCCTGTGCCCCTTTCCGTGTGGGGCCTGTGGCACTGGAGCCCACCGAGGATGGAGTGGCCGGTGTGGCCCCCCTGCTGCTACAGCTGCCAGGCGGCGCCCAGGCCCCCAACCGTGCCTGTCTGGGGTCGGCCCTCGTCACCCTGCGCCACCACCTGCAGGACTATGGTGCAGCTGGCTCCCATGGGGCCCCTGGTGCCCATGCCCGCAAGGGCCGCATTGGCCACGACCACCTCACCAGCATGTCACTCTGAGTGCCCGTCTGTGCCGCACGCAGGATGCCTGGAGCCAGGACTCGCCATGGGGCCCACGCCCTCCTGCCTGCTCACGCTGCAACAGCCGGGCAGCGTGGTGGCACCCTGCCCCGGGGTAATAAAGGAGTGTCTGGACGCCGTGCCCTGTGTAAGTGGCCCTGATGCACTGCCCCCTGCCCCATCCAAGCCAGCTAGCATCCCTGACACACCGCCCACCCCACAGCCAGCTGTCTCCCAGGCCTGTGATACTCGCCACATACTGCACCCCAGAGCCAGCCGCATTAGAGGAAAGTGATTCAGACCATTTATTAGAGCAACCCCCTCTTCCCCTGCTCTGGGCCAGGGAGCCGTCACCGACAGTAGCTCTGGCACAGCAGGGGCAGGAGGTGATGCTCTGGCGCAGGAGTTGAACGGCTCGGCTGGCCTGGATCCTGCCCAGACGCGGGAAGTCCGGCCTCCCCCGCACCTAGCAGGGCCCCTGGATCTCGCGGGCCAGCTGGCACAGGGCGCAGGGGCAGCAGCAGCAGACGGCCGCCCAGTCGCAGCACACGCAG